TTGCAATAAATTGTTTCAGATATAAAAATTACATACTTACACACACATATATGTACTTCATTTACGAACTAGAAAGTAAAAAACGAATATAAGTACATACATACATACCTACTATACTATGTAAGTACATATGTATATGTTTGTATGTATGTATGCTTGCATACAAAAGTATGTATTTGAAATTAAATATTTGTAATGTAGATTAAAAAAAGATACTTCAAGCATTTGGTGAATTGAAAAAGGAGTTAAGTATTAATTAATAGGAAAACTAAAACTACAAAAGCAACTGACAATCTACACACTATTAGTACACACGTATGCACATACATAACTACTAGTACATCGGGCTCTAAATAAGTGCACATTAAAAAGTATGTACCTACTAACTACATAATATATGCACATAGTATGTACGTACATACATATATGTATGTATGTTTAGTAGATATAATCTTGATTACAGTTCGTACGTGTCACTCATTTACATAGTATGTATGTATTATAAAGATCTAAAAATCGCAATTATAAAAAGTATTTTTCCACACGTATTATTCGCTATTAAAAATGCTTATTAAAAATTTTATTATATAGTACGAACAAATAGACATTAGAAAAGTCGAATATATTTACTCTAAAAAAAAGCAATGATGCATGAATCTTACAATTAAGAATTTTTTCGATGCAATTAAAAAATATAATAATAATGTAAGAATGTAATGTATTAGAAATTAAGCTCAAACCATTACGAAACACTTGTAAAGATTGTTTGAGAAGTGTGATCTAACGCCAGCGAATTTTGAATTCCATTTTTACATACATACATACATATGTACATATGTATATATAAATCGAGTAATATAGCAAACAAAATGCAAACCTAAAGACTTATTCATGCTATATAATGAAGAGAGCTGCAAATGGTAAAAATATTGGGAACATATTTTGAATGCATATACGGGTATATGTACATATAAGTGTGTGCATAAATATGTAAGCTCTTCATTTAAAAAAAAAAAACAAAAGGGCAGCGTTAATGAAGCAATTACTTTAAAATGACACTTTATCCATCAACTTGCAATGAAGTTCTACTACATGAATATTGCATACATATGTATGTATGTATATAGTATATAGTATGTATACTTTGTGTACAGCAGACGACATGGCAGGCATGGCAGGCATGAAAGGCAAGCGCGCCCGCACGTGGTTTTTATTTAAGAAGTATGTATGTATGTACATATGTACAGAGCAGGGATGTTGCGAATATTTGAATTCGCATTCGTTATGCGAATGATTCGCATCATTTTACACATTCGCATTCGACATTTGCATTCGCATCAAATGATACGAATGTTTTGCGAATGCGAATGTGTACATGGGTAGAGAGTCCACTCTAATATTGTTGAAATGGCTCTAAGTCTGTCTAACCAGGGTGCGGACGGACAATAACCGACTTGTAGCTTCAGGCGCTAAACGGTTAAGTAGGATATCAAGCAACATTGATGGGCCTTCAATAAGTACTACTAAAAGTCGTATAGGCAACCTAGAAATAATTTTAGATTCCTCCAGCGAAAGCGAAGGCTCGGATGTAGAACCTGGACACATTAAAAATGTAAAATTAAAGCACAATTGAAGGCCTATCTTAAAGAAAAACGAGCTTATCTCGGCGAAAATCCTCTCCATTGGTGAAAAACTAAACTAATATACGACAAATTGACAGAGCTGGCCCGCAAATACTTGAGCGATCCACCCGCCAGCGTTCCAAGTGAACAATTGTTCAGTGCAGCCGGCCTTATAGACGAGCCTCCAAGAAATCGCCTCATAAGAGAAAAGGCAGCAAATTTAATTTTTTTTCCCCTTTGAACTTTCACTACTAGATTAGAACACTGTATAGGTTAAGCACTCGTTCGTACAAAATTTTTAATTAATAAAAACGATGTCTGAAGTTGGCAATATATCTTTTTTAATGATGTATTATGGAACGAATTTCCGTCATCCCTTGTCAAATTTGGTTTGGAGACAAACCGGTTTCGGCGTTGTGCCATCTTCAGTGTCATTTTTCGTTTTTTAATGTTATTCCTAACATTCGCATGCCAAAAATTCGCTTTCGCGAATGTGAAAAATATGACATTCGAAACATCCCTAGTACAGAGTTAGCAAAGTCTGTGCGACCATCGACACATACATACATACATATGTATATACATAAGTATGTAACTCATAATCTAAGAAAATTAATTAGGCTTTTATTTTTAATTGCACATAGTATTAGGCCCCACAAAACTATTTAAAAAAAAAAACTTGAAACGAAAGTCTTATGATTCCTAGTTATATAAGACATAAATTTAGTAAATGTATCTACATACAATATACATAAATATCTATTGTAAATACATATTTTATTATGCTCCACAATTATTTTTCACAATTTTTTTTTGCATTAATAAATCATGATAGAAAAATACATACATATGTACACATGTATTCAAATGTTATGAAAAGGACTCTTTACTTTGAAGTATTGAACTGTTCTTAAATTCATATAATACATTTGTATGTATAGCGGCATACACATATGCATGAATGTACATGCATTTGGACTTACACTCACATGCACAGGTATGTAAGTTGTATAGCTTGTATAACACCTGCTCATACCGAAAGACCAAAAAAAATGCAGCGAAAATCGGATGGATCGGATCGGACGGAGGGAAATTGCGTTTGATGCGATCGTTTTGGCAATACATATTTAAAATATATTTATATAAATTCGAACTCATAAAAACTATACTCACTAGCATTACGGAAAATCGACGTCATACTCTATCGAAGTTAAATTGTAAATACTACGTAGGGTTCAAACGTACTATAGCAGGAATAAGCAAGAAGTAAAATTTTATAAAGCGTGTTTATAGACCCCTTTTAACATACACATGTATGTATGTATGCATATGTAGCATCCGCATTTTTAATTTGTAACTTTTTAAACATTGAAATGTTTATTTTCTTTACCTGCCTATTCGCAATTATTCGCCAATAATGCCAAAAGTATGACCCATTACCAAGCACTTTCATTCAAGCGAAGTCCAATTTTTGGTGATAACCGATATTAGTCTCGGTTTAATTGATTTGCTAATGTGAAAGACAACAAGCCTTCGTGAAGCTTACAAAATTCATTAGTTACTATTTACATACATATATGTAAATAACTCAAGGTAAAAAGTACAGGTAAAGGCTAAGAGTTAAAAGTTACTAAGTCCATTTAAACAAATTTTTCAAAAAAAGAAAAATCTTATTGTAGCCATTTTTTCAAGCATATCACACGACTTTGAATGCAACATTTTGAGTCTTTAAAGCAAAGCAAGACTTCCTTTCCCCGAGTTTTTTTGGAACGGGAGGAAATAAAACAAGTACCCTTTGAAAACGATGCATTTTCATTGGTAAATTATGGATAGCAACACAACCTTAGTGGAGGTTGCCAATGGGCAACGCCACTGAAATGAAAATTTATATTATAAATAGCAACTACAGTTAAGTGCTATAAAGTTGAAGATACCAGAATTTTGATGTACCAACAATCAAGGCTTTAGTGTAAACCAGCAACCACAAAAATGAAGTTGCCAATATATAAATTTAGCAACTCCAGCCAGCCAGCTTCCAATTAGCTGCTAGTTTTCATCTGTAATACCTTATCAGCACAATGATTTCTCTTGCCGCCTATATCAATATATGAATTATCACAAGAAATGGGCTTAGCCACTTTTAACTCTAAGCTAGTTGTGTACATATTTACTTAATTAATTTGCTATACAAATCGCATAACAATTAAGCTTTGTTTTAAAGTTAAATAATTACAAACTAACAATCTGCAATATTAAACTTTCAATCAGATACAGATTTTACATTAAGCCTTTCTCATTAGCACATCAACAACATACGTATGTACCTACATTAATAATTTCAGCGAAAACAAAAATGCGTCAGCGTTTTCAATTTGCAAAACACCTTTTCTACTAAA